GTCTGGTGAACCTTTGCTGGACTCCCTCAATAGCAAGAATGTCCTTTGTCAGACTAGGAGAGCAAAACTGCACACAATACTCAAGATGTGACCTCACCAATCCCCTGTATAACTGCAGCAAGACGTCCCTACTTCTATACTCAAATCCTGTCACTATGAAGGCCAGCATGCCATTAGCTTTCCTCGCTGCCTGCTGCACCTGTATGGCAACCTTCAGTGACTGTTCTACCATGACAGCCAGGTCTCGTTGCATATTCAGATAATGTGCTTTCCTGTTTTTGTGATCAAAGTGGATAACCTCACATTTATCCTCATTGTATTGCATTTGCCAATTATTTGTCCACTTAGCCAGCCTGTCCAATTCACCCTGCAGCCTCTTAGCAGCTTCCTCACAGCACACACTGCTACTCAACTTAGTGTCATCTACAAATTTGGAGATATTGCATTCAATTCTTTCATCCAAATCATTAATGTATATTGTGAACAGCTGAGGTCCCAGCATTGAACCCTATGGTATCCCACTCATCACTGCCTGTCACTTTGAAAAGGACCCATTCATTCCAACTCTGCTTCCTGTCTGCCAACCAGTTCTCTATCTATGTCAATGCGTTACATCGAATACTATGAGCTTTAGTTTTCCTTACTAACGCTTGTCTAGACCCTTGCCAAAAACCTTTTGTGCGTTCTACCATGGGGAACTTTCAAACAACTGGGAACTCCAGACTACCATATATAGAAAGACCACACATACAGACCAAATACTCAATTACACTAACAACCACCCCAACTCCCACAAATGGAGCTGTATCAGGACACTATTTAAACGAGCCACAACACATTGCAGCAACCAGGAACTATGCAAAACAGAACAGTACCACTTATACGGAGTCTTCAAAATAAATGGGTACTCGAAAAGCACAATCCGCCATTACCTCTGAGACAGAACACAACAGGAAGACTCAACACAACCAGACTCACTTATCATCCTACCATACATCAAGGACATTTCAGAGATGACCACAAGACTACTCAGACCCCTAGGTATCAGAGTAGTCCACAAACCGACAACCACTCTACAATAGCTACTGATAAATGTAAAGGATCCAATACCGAAAACCAGCAAAACTGTGGTAATATACAAAATACCATGCAAGGACCGTGAGAAACACTGCATAGGCCAAACTAGAAGAAAATTGGCTATACAGATCCAATAAACACCAACTAGCCACCAAGAGACACGACCAATTCTCACTCCTCTCACTACACACACAGTGAGGGACACAAATTTGACTGGGACAACACATCGATAATCGCAGAAGCCAAACAGAGACACGCCAGGGAATTCCTGGAGGCCTGGTATTCCAACCGGAACTCCCTCAACAAACACATTGAATTAGATCCTGTGTATAAACCACTGAGAAACAAAACTGGAAGTAATACCATACACCCCAGCAAACCGAGGCTCATAAATAACAAACGAGGCAGAACACTGACGCTTCGCCGGAGGTGCACTGATGATGTTACCTAGCAGGGTGACAAAACGTTTGCAAACGAAACCCACCGGGCTCAGTGAGCATGTCTACAACTTCCGTCTATAGAATGCTGGAAAATGATCACCAATGCACTCACTATTTCTAGGGCCACTTAAGTACCTTGGGGTGGAGAGCATCGGACCTTGGGGACTTATCAGGTTTTAATCCCATTAATTTTCCTAACACTATTTCCTGACTAATAAGGATTTCCTTCAGTTCCTCCTTTATGCTTGACACTCTGTCTCCTAGCATTTCTGGAAGGTTATTGGTGTCCTTTTAGGGAAGACCGATCTATTATTCATATCCATTGTCCATTATGAATTCACCTGATTATAAATGCAAGGGACCTTTTGTCTTCACCAGTCTTTTTCTCTTCACATATCTATAGAAGCTTTGTAGTCAGTTTTTGTTTTCTGCAAGCTTACTTTCATATTCTAGTTTCTCCTTCTGAATTAAACCCTATGTCCTCCCCTGTTGAATTTTAAATTTCTCCCAGTCTTCAGGTTTACTGGTTTTTCTGGCCAATTTATATGCCTCCTCTTTGGCTGTAACGCTGTTCCTGATTTCCCTTGTTATCCATGGTTGAGCCACCATCTCTGTTTTACTCTTACACCAGACATGCATGTAGAATTGTTGAAGTTCATCCATGTGTTCTTTTAAATGTCTATCATTGCCTATCCACCTTCAACCCCTTAAATATCCTTGGCCAGCTTATCCTAGCCAATGCATGTCTCATATCATCAAAAGTTAGCTTTCTTTAAGTTCAGGACCTTAGTCTCCGTTTTAACTGTGTCACTCTCCATCTTAATGAAGAATTCTACCATATTATGGTCACTCAACCCGAAAGGATCTTGGACCACAATATTGCTAATTAATCCTGTCTCATTACACAATAATCTCAGTAAGATTGCTGGAGAGCATTAGAATAATTGAGTTTGGAGGTGATTCAGGCACAGATGGTGGTTTGAGTTGTAAGTGGATTAAGTCATGGCAGAGGCTGGCGGTCTTAAATTTTTTTTCTTTTATTTCCTTTGGGAGAAATTGAATACTAATAGTTATATGTGACCAATTTTTTAATGTGATTCACATGTTTTTTTAATTAGCTCAATTTATTCACATCAATTCCAGTTTAGAATCAAACTTTACAAAGACAATTTTCTAATTACAGAGTATTCAGGAAGAAAGAAACTGTCTTAGTAAGCAGATTCATCAGAATTCTACACAAATTCACCAGCTGGAGGATGAATTAAAGAAGACCAAACAGGATCTTAACCACTCTTGGAATTTTGGGGAAGAGATGAAAAGTAAACTTTTTAACTAATATCTTTGTAGAATATGCAAATCTTAACAAATCTGATTAACCGCAAGTATTTCCTGTTCAGTTGATTTTTAAAACAGCTTCTTCAGAATCTATGTTGTAGGAGATGGATATCACTGGGTTAGCAATCCTAAAAAGAAGCATGGCAAATGAAAATGTGGTAAATGAAAATTATTTTCCCCAATGAAAGCAAATAATAAGAGTGGGTTCGCTCCTGATCTATAATTTTTACATGACAAACCGACTGACTACCTTGAACCTAATTGGCCCCATAATCCTTCTGTCTTTCAGAAGAATTGGCGAAAAGGCAAAGCAGGTAAGGTAATAAAATCTGAGATCAACATATTAGTGAGAAAGGATCTTAAATCTGAAGACCAAGATATAGAATCAATTTGAATGGAGCGAAGAAATGGCGAAAGGCCACCAAACAGAAATGACAATATAGGGTATGATATACGTCGGTTTATGTGGTGGACATTGCCACTGACCTTGAAGCAATCTGCCTGCTTATGTCAGGTAATCTCCGGCATCGGTTTCTCTCCTTTCACCATGGCACTTTAAATCTGGAGTTGCAGCAGTGATATGAGCAGGCAGGTAGGCAAACAATCAGATTGAAGTACTTACCTTCTCAAGACTGGGATATTAAAAAGCAATAGAAATTCTTCACTTAATTCAAATTTTTGTATAGAGAAATAAATTTATGACTGTATTAAGATAGTAGCTAAAATAGGTATGAAAAAGATTCTTGTATAAGCACAAATTTTAAATGAGGAGTTTTTAATCATAGTGGAGAAATTTGGCATTCCCTAAACATAAATTTAACTTTTCCAGATCACTAAGGATATTCAGCAATAATTATGATGCTGGTATGACATTAAAAACCTGACTAAACCTTGTCTGACAAGGTTTAACTTTTTCATCGGTTTTTACAGCAAAATTAATGGTGTTAAGAATGAAAATTTCCATTATGATTGCATGGGGTTTACAAGTTCTTTGAAACCTCTCCACTGCACTCTATGGGCAAGTGTAGAATCATTGACAGTAACAACCTTTTTTGTGCATTATTCTACAATTTTATTTTATTCATTCATGGAATGTGGGCATTACTGGCTAGCCAGCATTTATTGCCAGTCCCAGGTTGCCCTTGAGGTGGTGAACTGCATTCTTAAACTGCTGCATTCCATGTGCTGCAGATTGAAACACAACGCTGTTAGGGAGGTAGTTCTGGGATTTTGACCCAGGGACGATGAAGGAATAGCAATATGTATCCGAGTCAGGATGGAGAATGGCTTGGAGGGGAACCTAAAGGTGGTGATATTCCCATGTATATGCTGCCCTTGTCTTTCTAGATGGCGGTGGTCATGGGTTTGGAAGGTGCTATCTAAGGATCTTTGGTGAATTTCTGCAATGCAGCTTGTAGATAGGGCAGGTTGTGTGTGCTGAGTGTTGGTGGTAGAGGGAGTGGATACTTGAGGAAGTAGTGCCAATCAAGTGGGCTGCATTGTCCTGGATGGTGTCAAGCTTCTTGAGTGTTGTTGGAGCTGCATCCATCCAGGCAACTTTGGATTATTTCATCACACTTCTGACTTGCGCCGTGTAGATGGTGGACAGGCTTTGGGGAGTCAGGAGTTGAGTTACTCACCGCAGTATTCCTAGCTGCCAGCCTGCCCTTTTAGCCCCTGTGCTTGTGGTGAGTCCAGTTGAATTTCTGCTCAGTGTTAACCCCAAGGATGTTGATAGTGGGCGTTTTAGTGATAGTCACACCATTTGAATGTCGAGGGGCAGTGGATTAGATTGTCTGTCTGTCTGTCTGTCTGTCTGTCTGTCTGTCTGTCTGTCTGTCTGT